GGGGCGGGGAGGAGTAGAGTCCTAGCAGCCTCGGCTCCTCGTCACCCCCCCCCCCCCCCCCATCCACTAATACAGAGATGGCGAGGGAAACCCGGGAGGTTCCTGGTAACGGGGAAGATGCGGCCCAGCAGTGAAAAGAGGACAGGAGCCAGGTTCTTCTGAGCTTCAAGGAGAGGCCCAGCAGGAGGGCAGGGAGAGAAGAGCTGCGACCTAACCTTCTTCAGCAGGGACAGGAAGCCCCTTGTAACTGAGCTAGCCGGTGGGGGTAGAGCCTAGAGCCGTCCCCACCCGCGGGTTTGGACCTACCGATCTGAAGGACGCACACCTTCGGGGGTACCCATCTCACAATTACTCCGGTTCATCCCTACAGGAGGCGCCCTCTTCCTCCGCGCCTTCCTTGCAAGCTCTCTGCCATCGTTGTGTTTTAGCTTGCGTGTTCTTTTTTCCAAACATTCCCGTTGCCTTTCAGCATGGCATAATTCTTGATCTCTCCTATAGTCTGTCGAGTGCCTGTCTCGCCAAGGGATGGGGAGATGCTTGATGGTGTAGAATCACAACTCTTCACCTTTCTTTCCCCCGACCAGTGCCAAAGTGCTTAGCCCGAAGGGAGGGCTCAAAGCTACCAGCTGGATGAAACAGTGTGTTCTAAAGCTGTCACTTCGCTTTGACCTTCTTTTAAACAGCTTATTAACAAGAACTTGGGCCATGGAAGTCTTGGCAACTACTGATGCCAATTAAACAAATCAAGGTCAAGGAACCGAGCACCTGTCATTTCTCTTGGCTACCAGTGCAATTCTAAGCTCAATATACCAAAATTTTACGTATTTCATCGATAACAAAGAGTTGGCCATCTCCTAATTTCTTCTTGATCTGGGTACTTCTCAGTGGTACTTTGGCAAGGTCTCAGAAATTGGGGTGAACCAGTTCTATTTAGATTTCCAATAGTCATTTTTGGAGAAATTATGCCACTCTAGTAACAACGCTGTTTCTTTTGCATTTGTTTATTTGTTTTTCATTTTTTTGTGTGTATCTGTGTGGGTACATGCCCTGGTTTGGTGTGCAGGTGAAGGTCAGAGCACAGATTTGGGGAATCTCTCCCCTTCTGCCATTTGAGGCCTGGGAATGGAACTCAGGTTGTGAATACCTTTCTCCAACAGCCACTGTCGCAGCCCAACAACAGTGTTCTGAATCTTCTGAAACTTTGTTGGAGCCACACAGCTGCTCTGGAAGAGTTTCCAGTTTTGGATGGGGAATTTGAGGCTAATTAATTTTGCCCAGCATGTCACTTAACAAACGTGGCAGGGCTGAGAGTCAGTCTAGGTCAGGTGCCTCTAGTCCAGTCTGAGCTCTGAAGTTCCCCTTCCTGTCTCCTCAGGAAACTGTGGAAAGCTTAGGTGGCCCAGGTTTCTTCAGACAGCCAGCTGCCCACTGGCATGATGTCCTGGGGCTGTGACCTGGGCTTTTTGTCCTGTTCTCCTGCAGACTTCTAGGGCAGGGCCACCAACACGCTGAGCATAGGGTAGCTGGGGGATTCAGAGAGCAAGCACTGACCGCTCCGCTCCGTGTTGGTGGTTTGGATCCAGCACTGACTTGGTTCCAATCAGCTGTGTTAACACCTGCCTCGGCCTATCGCTGACACATCCTGAACACTGCTAAGGCTGAAGCAGTCCCCAGCCGGATGATGCTAAGATCTGTCTGTGACTGCTCACACGGTATTCAAGCAAAAACTGCAGAGTACTGATTTCACTAAAATCTGTAACATTCCAGGATCTTAGTGGTGGCAACCGTGAAGAGATTGTTTTGCCATTTGGCAGGTGGAGAAGTCAGGTGTCCCACACCAGTGGCCAGTTGGTTACAGAGTAGAGACAAGACCATGGGCCTGCTGAATTCTAGTCCAATCTCTCCCCACTGCCTGAATTTACTTAGTATGTAATAAATGAATTTCTTATTAAATTACAGGAGAAAGAAATTAGTCTGTTTTGTTTTTTCTCTCTCTCTACTGAGCAGGATAAAGGTTATCATGTTTCTAAAGATGGATACTGGAAACCCATCACATCAAGTAGCTAGCTGGACCGTGGAGTCCACAGAACATGGATCTTTCTTCTGGACAGTCCTTCAGGAAAGTACAGCCCAGTCCCTGGCTCCCTCTGTCTTAATTATTTGTTTAGGAGGTGATGGAGTTAAATTGGCTCGATTCATAGCAGAGTTCAGTGATGGGGCAGGGACGAGAGGGAAATGGCCACTTCCTTCCTGCAAGGAGAACTGTATCTCAAACCCAGCTGCTAAGGGCTTAGCCTCAGGGGAGCTGTGCCCTACTGGCCTTGGGGCTGGAGAGGCCGGGAAGTTGTGGGTTCTTGCCAGGCTCCAGGCTGGATCTTGAAGCCTCTCCTAGAGGAAGCTCAGGCAGCCTTTGGGGGCCTCCCTAGCAGCTTTTATACCCCACCCAGTGCTCTGTCAGGATGACTCCTATTAGCCCAGACTAACAAGATGACCACAGAGCACCCTTGCCCCTGTAGAAGGATGGCTTGGGGATCCTTGGGGCGTGGAGGGGAATTTGGTGCTTTCTCAGATAAGAGAGGGTGCTCTTCTGGATCGGAGGACCTCAACACAGTCCCGGGCAGTGGGGTGGAGTCAATTTGACGGAGCCGTAAAGTATCATTGCCCTGGGGCTTATATCAGTCCTCACGCTGCACAGTTCTCCCCACAGGAAGAGCCCTCTGGGGAACTGAAAGGGCAAGGCCGGGGAGAAGAGATGTGAGAGTAGCTGTCCGCTGTGCTGCAGAGCGCCGCCCTTTGCGGACCGCACGAGAAGGGGTCTACTCCCTCCTACCCTCCTTCCATCAGGCCCTGAGCATTGTCAGTTCCCACGGTGATTCCATCCCAGAAGAAGACAAAACAAACAGACTGCTCCCAAGAGCAGGTCAAAGGTAGTCATGCCTACTCTTCGCCTGAGCTAATGTGGGGTCCAGCTTCAAATCCATGGGTCATTTATTGTTCTTGATCAGAGGGCAATAGCTCCCTCTTTCCCTTTCTTCCTCTCTCCCTCCATCCCTCCTCCTTCCTTCCCTTCCTTCCTTCTTTCTTTGTATGTGTGTGGAAGGTTGCACATGTTTGTGGAGGTCAGAGGTCAGCTTTGGCAGCTGTTCCTCAGGACAGGGACCTGACCACCTGGCTTTTTGAGGCAGAGCCTCTCACTAGGACCTTGTGCTTGGCCATTAAACTAGCCTGGCCAGGTGTGAGCCTCCTGTCTCCATCTCCAGCTTTGGGATTACAAGGCTGCTCCATGCGTGGCCTTGTATGTGGGTTCTCGGGGTGTAACTTGGGTCCTCTGCTTGTGTAGCAAGCACTGTATAGACTGAGCTGTCTCGGTCCTTTTTTTGTCATTGTTTATTATTTATTTATTTATTTATTTATTTATTTATTTATTTATTTGTTGGTGTGACTCAGACCATTCTAAAATTAAGGGATTAGAAGTGGAGCTACGATTCTGATTTAGAAGTTTCTGATGTCCAATGTTTTGTACGTGCCTTGTCATTGTGACACTTTGGGCCCTGCTATTGAGTGTGTCACTGTGCTGTGTCAGCCAGCCTCCTGTGAAGTTAGGCCTCTAGGCACATGCAGACTGCTGCCTTAGAACTGGAAGTTGCAGAAATGGCTTCAGCCATTCTTCTAAACAGTGGGGAAGAAGCCTGCTGGGAGGGGCCTTGTCTAAAGTGTCCTCCATCTTCTCCTGCCCTAGCCCCAGCACAAACCAGTGAGCTCCCTTGGAGCCAGTAGTGGCTTTCTTGCTTAGAGGAACTAAGAGCGTGCTGCAGATGACCTTCGTGCATTAGATGGCTCAGGGACTTCCTCCTTTATTTTTCCAAGAGGTAAATCAGAAGGGCCCATAGGAGAACAACTTTAGGGATAAATTCAGTTCTAATTTGAGCTCTTTGAGCAAAGGTTTGCACTGTGTAGTTTAAGGGGTTGGAGAAATAAATGTGAGGGTTACTTCAAATCTTCCCAGAGTCAAGATAGATAGATAGATAGATAGATAGATAGATAGATAGATAGATAGATATATTTTTTTGAGAACATCTTATGTAAGAATCTGTGAGGGGAGCCAGGAGTGGTGCCTTTTTTCCCAGCACTCTGGAGGCCAAGGCAGGCTGTTCTCAGTTTCAGACCAGCTGCTCTGTAGAGCAAATTTCAGGATAGTCAGGGCTACAGAGTAAGACCCTGCCTCAAAAAACCAAACCAAACCAAAACCACCCTAGACCAACCAAGCAACAACAACAACAAAAGGGAATCTAAGCCTAAACAAGAAAGAGGAGTGTATGAAGCATGCTCACAGTAGGGCCCTTGCCTACACTAGAATAATGATGGACATGAAGAGGGCGGTGGGCTGGGTCTGAATAAAGGGTTCCTGTAAGCACAGTCCAGTGTGTAAAGAAACAGGGTCTGAACTGTACTTTGAAACCTGCTTTGGCTGTAGTCCAGAGTAAAAGATACATTTTCCATTGAAGTTGGGTAGATGATGGATGGGTAGGTGGATGGGTGGATGGATGGATGGACAGGAAAATTTTTATGAAAAAAATTCCCATGTTTGCCAAATATTTTCTATTCTAGCCTGTTTTTATTTCTTCATTTATTATTTTACT